TTTGCAGTGGGAGAAGAACAGGGGAATGAAAGAATAGGCACACTGTTTTGTTTTCATGCATGTATATACACTATTTTCCTGAACAATTTTGTAGCAGTTACATTTAGGAAGGAACACAAGAAAGACATCGGACGAACCCCAAAATATTGCTGATGCTCCGTAAATGGGGATTGCACATCCCAGATGCTGCTGAAAAAGCATCTATGCAAATGTACAGCCCTTTGTCCAGTGCTTTGTTGTGAAAAGTATTGCTGCAAGTTCAGTCCTGCATCTCAAACTTCCTGCACTGGAAACTTTCTGCATATCTAAAGGGAGTATCTTTCCTCTGCTGGGTTCTTTCTCCCAGAATAATGCAGTTTGATAAGTTTGTCGCATTATTTCTCTGTTTGGACTGTAATGGTTTGTATTTCTGAGGGATTGGAATAGAGGAAAACTGCAGTTTCATCACTGTCAAATACTCTGCTGCCCTGCAACTTGTGGAGCCACTGCACAGATGGAAATAGGGTAGTGTCAGTCCATTTTTTTGTGTACCTGCTTTCAGTGCACAGCAGGGGCCCCTGCAGCCCAGATGCTTCTTTCCTTGTCATTCTCTGCTTGTGCCATCAACTTCTCCTTAAGCATTTCATTTGATGGACTGGACTTGGAGATAATGGTAGCAGTTAGTACAGATTGCTTTATACGAAAGCTTTCAATCTTTCCCCCTCAAAGTGTCCTGTTTGCAGAAAGCATTCTATAATAAGTCATTTATTAATGCCTTTTGATGCTGCTGGAGGAAGGATTGGTGTATGTTTTCTGCTAAGCAATAGCTTAGATTTCGTGTTTACTATGTGTATCCTCTCCAGTCTTTTTTCATACCTATTCTGTGAAGAGTAACCAGCCTAGCCTTTCATCTTAATGCACACGACTGTGCCACAAAACATTGTACATCGTGTTAGAGATCTTGGAGCTTCCTTAGTTGAGCAGGTATACTCAAGCTGATACAGTGCAGCCCAACATCTAGGTATGCTAGTTTGGTACCTGCAAGCAGCACAGCTGTGCTTGCTTGTCTTTCAGCAAACTATCACTTCAGGTGCAGCTGCCTGTGGAAGCACTGGTGCCATGGTTTCTGCCCACTTCAGGACTTTTTACATCCTCTCAGGGGGCAGGAAAGAAAAGGAAGACATTCACCCCATGCATTTTGCAATCTGCCTTTTCCCCTCCTGAGCAGCCCCTTTGCAGAGATAATGCTCCTACTTTAAGGTCACTGGGTAAAATTTCACTCAGCCACATACTGTTTGCAATAGCTAGGGAGCTCCTGAGGGGGCCTTCTGGGCTTGGGACCTACACTTGTGTTTTGTGGCAAAAGAGCTGTAGGGGGGAATCCTGTTTGCTTGGTCTTACTGGGTAATAAGACCCCTGTACCCTGTAGGACTCTTAGGAAACCCATTTTCTCCAAAGATAGTTATGTATAAATTGCAGGACTGTGCCCTCAATGTTCCACCCCGCCAAATATAAACTAGACTGAGAAGTGTATGTAAGTGTATGTTGGTGATGAACTTCAGCCAGCTGATTGACAAAGGGGCAGGGAAACTGAACCCCCGAACGGGAACAGAACTCTTTTGCCCACACTTACTATTCTGTCTTGTATTGCTGGGGTTCCCCCGTGCCATTTTAAAAATGTTAATAATGTCTTTAGGCAGAAAGTGATGTTTTGATTTATTTGTGGGTTTTTTCTATTACAATAAAAAGAAATACAGCAAATTTCCTGTTTGAATGCATGTGCCCACGCAGCTGCCCAGCGAATGCAGCTGACCAGAAGTCATCATCTTTACTCTGATCCCAGCTGGGAAGTGCAGGATGAGAAATTGTTCAAGCCGTTTGTGCCAAGTACTGCTACTGGAAGTAGTGGTGGCTACTGCCCTTTCCTGAACTGGCCACAGGCAATATTCTTATTTAAGTTCGGAAAAATTTTTCTTCTGTAAGTACTGTGGTATCTAAAATCATACTCCTGAGGCTTGACACAGCTCGGATGCGCTCAAAGATGATGTTCTGTCAGCACAGGTTTTGTACAGCCCTTGCTCATTTAAGTGTGCAAGAAGGAAATGTCTAATGTCTGCTGCTGAAGAAGAGGCCCAGCAGAGTTTAAACATGGGAAAAGGCTCTAAGCTTGATGCTGCTACTTCAAAATGGAAAAAAAAAAAAAAGCTAAGAAGTAGACTTCATGCCTGGGTTCCTCTGAAGCTGCACAGGAGATATTGGTGAGGATTATGTAGCACTGCCCCAAATATCTGGCTCTGGGGAAGACATTAATTCTGCTTGGTTTGGCCTTCTGCATGCTTATTGATGGCATCCAAATGATAAACCACACAGGCTGTTTCTGTAACAGTCTGTATCAGTGTAATACAGAGGAGGTCTTGTAACAGAAGGAGGTTGTAACAAAGATGCATGATTGTGGTTATTTTGGGCTGTGTTACTCAGATGTGGTGCTGGTTTGCTATCAAGTACTAGCACTGGCCCCACACAAAATACCTGCAGTTGGGTATTTTAAAATTAAATTAAATTTTTTTTTTTATTATTTTTTTTTTAATTTAAAGGAAAACCTTGACTTTACTGGCAGCCCTAGACAGAGTGTAAGACAGTTGCTCACAGCAGCTTACCTTCTAAACTTCTAACAAAATACATGCCTTTGCTACTAGTAGCAGAGATTTTATTCCTGATGACAGCTGCTGCCTATCTGAGCGGCAGTCAAGCGAATGTATCCAGTGGTTGAAGTGCAAAGTATTAAATAACCGCAACAGCCACAGTGGCCCTGCTCAGAGCTAACCTGGATGAAGGAACAAGCTGTACACAGCTGTGCACTTCACCAAAAGGCATGCTTATGCTCTCAGGGAAACCAAGATGTCCCAAGTCCTCACTGGGTGATACCAAATGGCCATGGAGGTGCTGGGAGAGGTGTTTTGACTCGAAGAGAGTTTCTAAAGCAGTGTGACAAATAAGCTGTAGAAAGCACAGCAGGTAGTTCCAAGTTTTGGAAAGCTCTGCTGGTAGCATAAACCTGATGGCACTGCAGGAGTGTGAAAATGTGAATGCTGACTGAATTTTAACAGTCTTCCCAATTCAGGAAAGTGCCCCGAGGTGGCACTGCTGCCTCGAAGCACAGGGATGCACCTGAGCCTGGGGAGAGTGGCTGAGATGTCCATAGTAATGTCAGTGCAACAGGCATGGAGCGAGGTCTCTCCCAGACAAGAAAGCTGCAGGTAGGACTAGGCAGGAGACAAGACCATGGGGCAGCTTGGACTACAGCAAGAACCTGGTAGCAAGGACACTACAATGCCAGGGTTGCAATAGGTGTGAGCTGGCAGGTTTTCCTAAATCTGTGCTTATTTCATCCAGACTGGGAAGTCTCGTCCTCATACCATACCATGGTTTATGGAAAATAAAGGCTTGCATTCCTGAAACCCTTGGAGTTCACTCTGTATCTGACCCCACGGCTGTCTTTTGAGAGCCCTGGGCATTAACTCGCAGTTCTGCTACATGGGAGAGCAGTTTTTTGGCTTTTGGTACTCGAGTACCCCAAACACATGAAAGCATTTCTGCTTACTCGTCAGCATGCCATGGTAGGCACACTTTGAAGTATTCATATTCTGGAGTAAGCATCCACACATTGACTGATGATATGTGTAACCACACCTAGACAAGTCCTATAAATGAGCATAACCCTAAACTGAACTAAAAACTCAGTGTTCAATTGCATACAAAGCAGCTGGGTGCTGAGAAACCATTCTGGGAGCTTCAGTGCATCTGAGTAAAGAGTCCCACTTTCCAGAGGCAGGAGCCCGTAACTGGGTCTAATTCAGAAGGCCCCAGCAGCTGTGATTCTGCAAGAAAATCAATGCTGGGGCAAATAACACTTGGAATACCCATCCAAGACTGCCTGACTCACTATGTTGGGAAGGCAACTCGCAGAAACAGTGTGGAAACAGCTGTCCTGGTGGCATTAGCCAGTGGACAATGAATGTCTCCCCCAGAAAGTAGCTGAGGATGTTTTGGTAAACCAAAATTATTAACGTTGTTTCTGTACACCCTCCTTTCACTGACTGGGAGCAGGAAAATCATAAACCAAAAACAAAAAAACAATCTGTGAAGCCACCCAGATGCTTCATTTTGAGAGGAATCTGGTGGAGAACTGGGAACAGGGATTGCACAATATCCTGCAACAAATAATACTGAGGAAAAAACAATCAGTAAAAAATCGTCTTCCCCCAGTTCCAGCCTAGCTCAGCACTGAGCACCATTGGGGAAGGGAATGCAAGCTAACTGTTGAGCAGAAAGTATTGAATGTTCCACATAGGTTGTTTTTGATTTCGGAAAATAATTCAGGAATTATTTGAGGCGATGGCAGTGGGGAGGGGGCTGTCCACTGTCACATATCAGGCCAGCATGATATGGAGCCATATGAATATGATCTGACCAGATGGTCTAATTAAATCCTAAATGACTTTTGAACAGGTCAAAGCAAAAGTTACTAGCTTTGCGCAGAGGGTATTTTCACTTCTCCAGTGAAAGCATTAGCTATGAATAGCTAATCCTATTGGAAAAGCAAGATGAGGCACAGGGACTGAATGGGTGAGCGTGTGCTGCTAGGACAGTGTGAAGTGTCCTTCGCTAGGACACAGAAACACGCAGAGGAGCTGAGCTTACCAGGCAGCTCAATCCAGACCCACAGCCCCTCCATTCCGGGGGGCACTGCAGTAATAACAGCAAATGTGAAAACACGCACCCCCACACCCTCCCTCCTCGAAACTCCCGGGTGCCTCGTTAGGGCTCCATAGCAAAGGATTTAAGGAGAGAGCTGAAGCGGGGACGCCGTTCACGCCCGGCACATTAAGGCTGCGCTGGCGGGGCGATGGAGCCGCGGGGGCACAGGAGCGGGGCCGAGACAGCGGCCGCACGTCCCGCCCGTGGGCGCGGGGAGGGCGGGCGGCCGCCATCGCCTCCCGGCGCGGTCCCGCCTCCCGCGCAGAGCCCGGGCCCGGCGGGGGCATGGCGGCGGCGCGGGGCCGGGTGCTGTGCCTCTTCGACGTGGACGGGACCCCTGACGCGCCTCGGCAGGTAGGCGAGGGCGCGGGGGCGGCGAGCTTTTCTTGCGGGGGCAAGGTCAGCGTGGCGGAGCTCGTCCCGCTGGCTGCGGCCTCACCCGCTGCTTCCCCTCCAGAAAATCGAGCCGGAGGTGGATGCGTTCCTGCGGGAGCTGCGGGAGAGGGTGCTCATCGGCGTGGTGGGAGGCTCCGACTATGCCAAGATAGCCGAGCAGCTGGGGGACGGGGACGAAGGTGAGACGCGGCCGAGGAGGTCTCCCGGGGGTCACCTGTGCCCTAAATCCAACCCCAAGGCTGCCGCTGGGGAGGCTGGCGGCGCCCAGGCGGAGCTGCTGCTTGGCTCCCCCGCCCTCTTTGGAGAGCCGGCAGGGATGCTCCGATCCACGCTGCCGACTCCAGCGTCAGTTTTGTACGAGCTTCATCAAGGCTTTTACAGCTGCACCCCTCGATACAGCAGGCAGGAGCCTCCGGCAATTTTTGCCTCCCTGCTGCTCCATGTGGGGTCTCCGGCAGGTTCCACTGGGGACACGGGGTAGAATAGGGTAGAAGCCTCTGCTCCCTCCGTTTTTTCCTTCTCCTGCATGGATAACAAGCGCCACTGGGCTCCAAGCTCTGCTCCCGCTTCATTAGGGAGGCCGAGAAATTCCCGGCTGAGGCTGATTGCTGAGTCGCCAGTGCTGCGTGTCTGGGTTGCAGGAGGGGCTGGAGTTAGATAACCAGTAACCACATCACCCCGACAGCCTGGCAATGGGGAGGGCAGAGGAGAGAGCAGAGTAACACGCATGTATTTGAAAGCCTAACATTTTGGAGCCCTTATCTTCGTTTTGCAACTGATTCAGTCCGTGACCTCGGTCAGGTCGTTTCCCCCTGCGTGCGTCAGCTCTCCACCCGGGAACAGAAGATAATCTCCTCATCCACCTTGTGGAAAACAAGGAGAGTAGGAGGGTCAGTGGCCCTTTGCAGAGCACAGAAGCTGTGGAAAGTGTGGTACTAAGAAAGCAGGAGGATGCTCACTCAGCCCTGAGGCCAGTCCTTTTCACTGCTTTTCCCAGGCAATACTCATGTTTCCTCTTTTGCTTCCTTCCCCCTCAGTCATTGAAAAGTTTGACTACGTCTTTGCAGAGAACGGCACAGTGCAATACAAGAATGGGCAGCTGGTCTCCAAGCAGGTAGGTCCAGCTCCCTTTGCAGCCATGGCTTTCCTGCCCTGTGCCCTGCACGCTGTGAGGACCAGCGCCTGCCCCACCCAGCCTCTTCTCCCCAGTTGCCAGATCTAAATGTCCCACTCTTCTAGGTGGGCTTCCTAGGAAGTCAGGCATCTTCTTCACTTCCCCTTTTCTTCATGCAGGCCATTCAGGATCACCTGGGGGAAGAGCTGCTGCAGGATCTGATCAACTTTTGTCTCAACTACATGGCATTGCTGAAGCTGCCCAAGAAACGGTAACGGCCCAAGCACTTGCAAATGGTAGTCATAACACTGAATTCTAGGGAGCCCTGGGCTCCAGAGCTCTCATAAAAACAGCCGAGCTACAGAGCTTGTCTTACTTCAAGTTTTATCTTAGCATCTAGAGGCACTGTGTAGGATCACTGTCCCACTGGGCTGGGCAGCCTGGGCAAATAACGGAGGAGGGTCTTTGTTCTGAAGAGTCTGCGTTGTTTTAGCTTAATGCCAGTTCTTTGGCCCCTCAGATTTTCCTCCTGGGGAAGCAAGGTACAGCCACTGCACATATCCCATTTAGGACAATGGTGCCAGCTCGTTACTGGTCAGGGCATCAGGCAGTATTGGTCCTATGAGTTTCCAAACAGGCAAACAATGGATCTTAAGGTGGGAAGTCCAGTGTCTAAGCACAAGGTTTCACACTGTTTCTAATCCAGTGTCACTGGCTGGCCCTGCCCTGCTCCCAGCCATGTGTACCTGTCTGCTCTTCCCCTTGATATCCAGCAGCCAGAGGGGGAGCTGAGTTGGTACACCTCCTCTGAAGGAAGACCAGACCACTACCAGGACAGAAAAGGGTAGTTTTCCATTGGATCAGCTCATCCTGTTAGTACAGAAAGGAGAGAGAGGGAACAGATGGCATGAAGGTGGAAGGGTAGAGCAGGAGGACCTCTTTCAGAGGCAGCCTGCAGTCAAGCCAGGCTGGATGCAGAGTCAAACCCCACCTCAGACCACAGTTTCACAAATGCATGAGCCACCCAGTGCTGTTGGGAGCAGCAGCTCTGTCCTCCCCTTGCCCTGGCTCGTTTTTTCCTGCTCTGCCCATGTGTTTGTACAGTGAACCTGAGCAGGTGAGCTGTTGGGTCGAGATTAAGCTGGTAAAAGTTGCTACACTGTGATCCAAGTTATTTGCTTGATATGAGTCACTATGTGACAATAAAAGGACTGGTGAGAGGGGCTAGGGTGGCTCCTTGCAACAGGACTGCTGGCTGAGCAGGCCCCTGAAAGCACGTGCTGGGACCCAGAACCCTCAAGGCTGTTTGGTTGCCTCACTGCTGTCTAGTTACCCAACAGCCTGGCAAAGTTTCAGCTCCCAAGTAGCTCTGTGGATTTAGGCTTATAGGATTTCTAGCAAACCAAGGACTTTAACCCACATCTCCCAAGTCTTGGCTTGGGGTTTGATCCACCAAACCCTGGGTGCTGCAGAGATGCTACTCCCAGGCTGCAGGCGTGGCTGCCTGTGTGTCTTTCCCCATGGTGTTCTTCACTGTGTAACGAGACAGGAGGGGGAGAGTTTTTCCTCGAGACTCACTTTATCACAGAGAAACAGTAGGCAGGGCTGGTAGGGACATCAGAGGGTTAAATGTGATCAGGAATCCTCAGCTAGACAGGGAAGGGGATCTCTCTGCTCCAGCTAGGTTTCCACAAGAGTTTCAGTCTATTTTCAAATTAGCAGTGCTGCCATCCCCTGTTGTTTCTGTCCCACCAGTGCTGGTACCTGTCTGGCCCCTTGACAAGCAAACAAAACTAGCTGGGTTTGTAGCAGAGAGAAAAGAAGGTAGCAATTTTCTGCCAGCTCAGTGCTTTCAACCAGCCCACCGAGGAAGCAGCAGAGCAGTGATCCCAGCGCAAGGTGAGGGTGGCAAGCAGGAACTGGATGCTGTCTGTGCAAGCTTAGATACGAGCTGCAATCAGAGGTTCAGGGGTTAAATGGGAGATACAAAGGCCCTGATTTGTGGCCTATGAGGACACGAATTGCCTGATTGCTCCTCAGCCTGTTGGTGGACATCAGCAGTTGGTGGAGTTACACTGACCTGTGCTATTCCACTGCCCTAAGGTACTGCCACCTTCACAGCCCACACAATATTTCTTAAAAGCCTCATGGGGTGGAGAGGCCACAGTCTCATCAGGCAGTTGGTCCAGGCCAGGCAATAGCTGTCCTTGCAGTTATCACAACATTGGAAAACGTTACCTATCACCTCACTTAAGCTCCTTGCATCCAGCCTGTCCCCAGGGCACACAGGAACTGTTTATTCCTCTTCTCTTACAGTCTCTTTTTATAAAACTAGGCGCCCCAGGGGGATCTTAAGCAGCTGTTGTTGCCTAGTCCCTGCCTGGTGTGAAGCACCCATGAGCGGGCATGGCTTCTCTCCTCCTGCACATCCTTGCAGAGCCTTGCTAAGCAGTCATTCCCCTGTAAAGGTTGTTTTTCTCTCCCTGCCCCAGTAACCTTCTTCCTTTGCCCACCCACAGAGGAACCTTCATTGAGTTTCGCAACGGGATGCTGAACATCTCCCCCATCGGACGAAGCTGCACCCCAGAAGAGCGAATTGAGTTCTCTGAGCTGGACAAGGTACACGGGCCAGACTTGGGCTCACCCTCCCATTTGCTGGTTTTGCACAACCACAGATCTCAGGTCTTATGTGCTTCCCCCCTTCCCAAGGAGAATGGAGCCCAGCTCCAAGCTGCGCATATGCGGCAAAGTGGAGACAGGACTGAGAGTCAGAAAACCCAAAGGGAAACACAGATGAATGGAAGAATTGGATTTCCTTGGGGACCACCAATGTGAAGGGGTGGCCAGCAGGATTCCCTGTGCTGTGGGAGAGCCACAGGGAATAAGCCAGTTATTTAACAGCATGTTTCCTCATTTACAGTACCCAAAGACAGCCCAGCAGCTGTCTTCTCTCTCCCACTCTGCCAGCCCCAACAGAGCTGGAATTAATGGGCTTTCCAGACTCAGAGAGCCACAGCAGATCTGCTGGGCAGGTCTCTGGAGCGTTTGGCCCATGCTCATACCAGTTTCTGCCTGGGGGAGCTTTCTTGGGGTTGAGGGATGAGTTGGTCCTTGCAAGACTTTTTAAGCAAAACTGGAGACTTTGGATTATGAACTGGCCTTCTGGGAAACTGAAACAGTTGCATTTCATTGCCAAGGAATGGCTGGGATCTGCTCTTCCCCATGGACTGAGCTGATGGCCTTTTACTTGGACACTGGGCAGGACTGGTGGAAGTTGGCTAAATGGCCTAGGACAGGTGGGAAGGGAGCAGAACAATAAGGCAGAGCTGCCCAGCAGACAGGTTACAGTGGATTCTGAGAGACTGTCAGCATCTAATTTTTCAAACTCTCTTTCCTTCTCTTCCTCCTTATCGTCCACAGAAAGAGCGGATCCGGGAGAAGTTTGTGGCAGCCTTGCAGAGGGAGTTTGCTGGCAAGGGCCTGCGTTTCTCCCGAGGTGAGCTGGGGGGGCTTCCTTGGCTCTGTCTTTATCATGTTTTCCTTAAATTTTTGGGAAGGGGAGCGAGAATCCCAGCTGTTCCCTCTGAGAGCCTGGAGACCTTGGGAAGAGCAGAAGGAGCTTCTAGTCCTGGAGAGGATTGCCACAGGGGCATCACATTTGCATTCATGACAGGGACACAGCAGAGAATAAACCGTGCTGCAGATTTGCCTCCCAGGGAATTGGCTGGACAGGCAGATTTCCATGACATTATCCCTGCCTTAATTTCAGTTCATGGAGCCTACCGCTGCCCAAAGAGTCTGTTCTGGCTGAAGCATCAGCAACAGGGCAGCCAGCAGACCTCCAACACAAGCACTCCTCTCTAGGAACGAGACAGGATCCTTATGTGTGTCTTGGCTCTGGGGTTTTCTTGGGAAGGTGGGCTGCAAGGGAAACATCTTTCTTCCTGGAAAAAGAGCTGACCAGGGGTAAGGAGTTTACAGCTCCATGCCATGGGCTTTTGCAGGGCCACTTCTTGGTGTGGCTCGTACAGCCAGTTTACTGAAGGTGAGGAACCAGAGGAGGGGCTTGAGCAATCCTGAGGGTCTGGCCAGGACAGGGAGAAAAATGAGGGTGTGTAAGTGGTGGGGATGATGCTGGAAGAAGACACTCTGCAGGGCAGGTGGGTAAGTGTGAGATAAGAAGGTGTTGTGTGTCAGCCCAGCCAAAGGGCAATGGGGTGGCGAGGCTGAGAGGCAGCGGGTGACACCCACTCCTGCATCCAACGTGGGCCAGTACCAAGGATCTGGTCCTCCAAGGGCTTTCCTCCGAGAGCCTCTGCTTGCCTTCAGCATCCTGCCAGGGGCATCCTGTGCTGCCCACAGCACTGACACACACTGTTTGTTACAGGAGAGAAAGACAAGGTCCCTGCCACTGTGTCCCTGCAGGCACGGGGCGTGAGAGCAAAACAGTGGGCCTTTCTCCTCTGACTTTGGAAAGCTGCCATGAAGAGCCCAGGCCTGTTGTGTAAAAGCATGAAGACAAGGGGAGCTGCAGGCCCCTCGCTCCTCCACAAAGAAAATGTGGGGGGCAAAACAGGGATCCAAAAACAGGAAACACAGAAAAGGGACCCTTCTGCCAAGCTGGCTTCATGTGCCTTCTCCCTGGCTGTGGAGGATGCAAGGCCCAGAGGTGGTGGGAGATCTCCCTGCAGCCCCTCCAGACCCCTGGTCTACTTAGGTGAGGGACAGTGCTGGCTGTCCTCCACACCACCTCTTCTTCCTTTGATTTTCTACCTGCGCCAGCTGGCATCAGGAGCCCCTTCTTGTTGCCCAACTCTGTTTGAAAGGCTAGAATGCAGTGAAAGGCAGTACTTTTCACAGGTCAATGGCTTTGGATGCAAAACCAGGAAGGATTTTAATAATCAACCAAGTTTAGCTCCTGCTCAGATGCTGGATCCTGCTGCAAGCTTGAGGACATCCCCATTCCTGAACTCATAGGGCACTTGCTCCCATTTATATCACAGTGCTCTGTCCAGGGCATCCTGTCTGGTTCCTCTGCTCCAAGCTGGACACACAGGCTTGAGCTCAAGCTCCCTCAGGCTCCAAGGAGGCTTGGTTTGGGATCCCCAAACCAGTGGGGACACTCAAAACAGCCAGGGAGGGGAGGACCGTGGCATCAGGACTTGCATGGTTGAGCAACCCTGGGAATTGGTGCCTGTCTACTCACCACCTTTCTTAGAGAAGTAGGATTATCATTTATGAAGGAGAGTGTGAAACGCCAGGGTTTCTGAGGGATACTCCGGTAGATTGCCTGGGTAAGATGAGCAGAGACCTGGACTAGCAAGAGGATGTACATCCCAGCTCAAATCCCCATTTCTCTGGCTCTGAGCAAGACTTAAACCTATATGTGCCCTAAGTCGCAGGCTTTATTTTGGGAGGAACACGTCACCTGTCTTGGTGTTGGGACAAGCCTGTGCATGCAGTGGGGCACCTTGAGAGGACAGAGAAGGTGCTGCCTCCAAGCACCCCCAAAAGGCAGCCCAGTGCTGGAGTAAACTCTACCTGGTCTAAGAGCAAGGGCTGGGAAGTTTGTTAACCCTTGGCTGTGGGTGTCCATGTCCATATGCAGACTCTCTGAGAAAACTCCCTGACCACTGTATGTTTGCCACATCTGACTCGGTGCCTCTCCAGATGCTGGCCACCCTCACTTAGGTCTTGTGTCAAGAGGTGATGGGCCAGGGTTGTGCCCCAGTTATGTTGATGGGCTCGTGGTACCTCTGTGGCAAGGTCCTTATCAGTGTGCAGAGACAGTGTATGGGAGCTCCCAGTCCCTGCACGGTTAAGGAGCATCAGAACAGTGGTTTTTGAAGGGCCAGTGATGTCCAGGCAGGAGCCTAGGAGAGAGCTTGGTGCCAGTCTCCAAGGTCATTGTCCCCTGTCGGGACATAGAACATGCTGGTGCTGTCCACAAGGCATGACCCCAGATCTCCCCCAAAGATGCCTCTCTTGGGAGGAACCTGCTGGTTCCTGCTTGCCTGCAGGGAAGCTGTGCTAATGTCACCCCAGCCATACTGATGTCACTCCAGCCTGTTGTCATAGGAACAGCCTCTGCCACTATCCTAGCCACATGCCAAGAGAAACACCCAGGCAGAGCTGGTGGTGTTCGTGGCTGCTCTTTGGAGTGGTGGGTCCACACAGACATCCAGCTCCCTCCCATCCTCCTGCCCATCCCAGGGTGGGACACCCTGCCAGCTCCCAGTGACATTTCCCGATGCCCTCTCTTCTGCTGGCAGGTGGCATGATCAGCTTTGATGTGTTCCCAGAGGGCTGGGACAAGCGCTACTGCCTCAATGTGCTCGACGACGAGAGATTTGACACTATCCACTTCTTCGGGAATGAGACGACCCCTGTGAGTATTCCCCACTCGCCCCACACATGGCCACTTTCTCTCCTGCGTGGAGCTGCTCTGTCACGGGTCCAATGGCTCGGGCATCGGCACCGATACAGACCTTTAGCATGAGGGAGGAAGATGCTGTCCTGTGGTGTGGTTTGTCATGGTCTCCATGATGGCAGCAGGCCTACTGGGTCACGGGGAAATCACCTTGGATTCACTGTGCTGGCAAGCAGGTCCACCTCAGCCTTGCTTTCCTTATCCCAGCATCCTTGGTAGGGTGGCAGCCACTCCTGCAGCCTGAATGACCCCAAACGCAAGCCCCCAGCACTTAGGAGAGAATTTCTCAACAGCAGGAACAGCTTCACCTTCCCTTTAGAGCAGTGGAGGATGATGCTTCCTTGCCGCTGGAGACTAGATTAATCATCCACTCAGCTCTTTCCAGATGCCAGCAACCTCTGCTCCCTAAATGTTCCCGCCCCTCCACAGGGGTAACCTATTAACCCTCCACAAACAGAGCAGGGGTTAACCCCAGGCTCCTGGACAAGCTTTGCTGGTCTGGGACCTTCCCCATCTTATGCTCCTCCCCTGGCATTGAAGAGGGGAGGCAAAAGGGAGGGAGCACAATTCCCAGCCCCTGGGGCCAGCAAAATCCTGACTGCCCCTTTCCACCAGGTCCCTGCCTGCCCAGCTGCTGGCTCCCACCCCAGTTCCCCATGGGACAGAGCAAAATGCAGATTCACGGATGAGGTTGTTCTGGCAAGACCCTGCTAATGCTGTCCCTGTTTTCTATTCCCCTGCAGGGAGGGAACGACTATGAAATCTATGATGATCCCCGCACTGTGGGACACAGTGTCCAGTCCCCCCAAGACACGGTCCAGCGATGCCGCGAAATCTTCTTTCCAGAAAGAGCCAATGAGTGCTGACTGCCAGGTCCTTGCAGCCCTGCCCCAGTCCCACCCTCTCCCCCCACCAGGAAAAGCACCTTGATTTGAGGAATCTGCTCAGGGTAGACCAAAACAACACCACAGAGCTGGTGAGGATGTAACACGAGTGCGGGTGGGTGGCAGGAGGGAGCCTTTAGCTGAGCAGCCCTTTGGCACTCCCCATCTGTGGCTGGGGGTTGTAGTACCAGACCCTCCTCGCCTTCAGAGAAACTTCTCTTGACAGTTCAGCTGTGGTGGGCGGTGATGCAGATGCTTTTGTGGTTGGAAAGCATTCAAAAGGGCCAGTCGAGAGCGTGTGTGTGTCTGCTCCATGCTCCCTCTCCTCTCCTTTTCCACTCTGTTTCTCTTAACAGTTCTGCATGAGGGAATATGCTTCTCACCTTTCTCTCTCCCTTGCACCTTGGCCTGGGAGGCCAGGACTACTGAGGCTGCTGAGGCTCCAGACATTCATGGGAGCTGCTCCAAGGCAAGAGGCCAGGGAGGCTGTTTGCTCCAAGCCTGTGGTACGAAGGAATAGTTGCTATCCCAGCTTTTTGCACCATTGTGCATTCTAATGGAGATGTCACCATTAGAATGCCCTCAATGCCACACTGTGCCAGTCCTTCCCTACATGTGACCTGGGAACGATAGCTTTGAAATGTCTGGGCTGCTGCTCTGAGCTTTGCTCAGGTACATGAAGAAACCAGTTCTTCTCTTTAGCTTACAAAACCCCCTAGGGTTTATTTTCTATATTATTATTCTATATTTTCAAGTCAGACCTTGCCTGGCATGGCTGGAGGATGCTGACACCTGGTGTGTGCAGAGCATGCTGTGGAGCAGTTTGGGGCAGAAGGCTTTCCAATGGTCTTCCCAATCCCATGTCCATTAGGTGTCAGAGATCACAGAATCACAGAATTGTTAGGGTTGGAAGGGACCTCTAGAAATAATCTAGTCCAACCCCCCTGCCAAGGCAGGGTCACCTAGAGTGGGTTACACAGCAATGCATCCAGGTAGGTTTTAAATGTCTCCAGAGAGAGAGACTTCATGACCTCCCTGGGCAGCCTGTTCCACTGCTCTGCCACCCTCTACATAAAGATGTTCTTCCTCATGTTGAGGTGGAACTTCTTCTGTTTATGGCCATTGCTCATTGTCCTGTCACTGGGCACCACTGATAAGAGTTTGGCACCATCCTCTTGGCACCTGCCTTTGAGGTATTTTTGTGCATTAATGAGATCCCCTCTCAGTCTTCTCTAGACTAAACAGGCCCAGCTCCTGCAGTCTGTCCTCATTAGAGAGATGTGTCTGTGTAAAACCTTAACCCAGGGCATTCATAACAGACCAAGTCCCCTTGCTTCCCAGTGCTCAACTTTCCATCCTGCTCCCAGAGATATTTTCAGAGAGGGCCAACACAGGCCAGACATGGTTCATAGTGCCAATGGAAGTACCCCCCAAGCAGTGCCCTCCAGGCTTGCTTTTCCACCCTGTCTCATCCCACACACTCGGTTTACATGGTTATCTTTAGGGAGACAGGATGTCTAGTGCAGCCATTGCCTGTCCTGTTCCTCTCCTTGGATCTTCGTGGATTGCAAACTCACATCTCTCCCTTGACCTTCTCCCTCCTTTTATTCCCGGCAGTTATGTTGGGATGTGTGGCCACACTGGTAACACTAGTCACAATTTAGTGCTCAAAAGGAGCTGAAGGATCCATCCCCTCCAGGGAGGTGTCCTGCTTGTAGCTCTTCAGGGCACGCATTTGTGGACCTGCAGAGTGCTGGAGGTTCATGCAAACTCCCCACCATTGCTCCTCAGGAGCCTTTCTCACCCCATCCCTGCTGGTATGGCACCGCCCTGTCTCTTAGTCCTGTTTTTTCTCCCCTTTTTCTCCTCTTCCTGCTCTCCTTGCCATTGCTCTTCATCTCCCACTAGCAGCTGGACTGCAGAGAGAAGTTTCACAGCTGCCTACTGCCACCTAAGCAAGGCACCACCATCTTCCTCAGGTGAGATACACTGGTGCTTTTAGACACAGGGCAGGGCTCCCCCATTGCCATGGACAGAGTCCCAAGTGGCTGCCTGGCCACAGGAGCAAGGATACTGTATGACCAGCGCTGGTGGGGTACTGTCTCCTCCACTTGATTGCACATCTTAACTACAACACATCAGATCTCTGATGCATCACATTTGCATGAGTGCAGCTGTCTGCCTGGCATCTGGAAATCCCCAACAAATGCACAAATTCCTCTTTCTACCCAGAGAAGATTTCTGTGTGGGAGAAGAGGACCTGTTGGAGAAGCCTGAATGCAGGGTACCCATTTCACAGGTCACAGGTTTTGGCCCTCCACTGCAACCTTCATGGAGGAGTTGTGTTTTGTGGTTCCTCCTTCTGTGTTTCACTGTGGATCAGTTATGTGTGAGTCTTGGGGAGTTTATTTTTCCTGTAAGTCTATTCAAAGCCAGCTGGACCTCTAGTGAGTTTAGTTGTTAGTGAAGAGCAGGGCCTAGCCCTGACAGTGTGGGGCACTGTGGTGGCCATGGGGACTGAAATGAAGGGAAAGGCAAGCTCTGTCCAAGGCTGCTCCTGGTGGGAGTATGTCCCTTGCTCAGGGTAGGGGGAGTTGCAGGTTGAGCAGAGCAGAGACAGACATGACCTTTGAGGCACCAGGCATCGCTTTCTCAGCTCAGGAGCTCACTTGTGCATGTGTGGGATCAAGTTCAGGAATCTTCCCCATTCCGCTCTCTTATACCAAGCTTGGGCTAGTTGAGGGCATCTCCCACCTGGAGACCCAAGAGGCCAAGAGGGATGAGGAGGATGGTGGCATCAGAATTAGCTGGGGCAGCCCCAGGGTCTCAGAGCCACAGAATGGTTGAGATCGAAGGGACCTCTGGAGATTCCTGGTCCCACGCCCCTGCTCAAGCAGGGCCACTGAGAACCCTGGCTGCCTGTGCTGTGCTTTTGCAGGCAGGGATGATACAGGGATGGGAGCCCCATGCCTAGGGGACGGTTCACGCCTGTCCTTGGGACCCCTTTGATGCTCCTGTCATGGTGAGTGCCCACAGGAAGCGGGGGTTTCTCCCTGTGCATGACAGTGATCAGGTGTGGCAGGCCCCACGCCCGGGACTGTCTTGCTATGTGGCTCCATATCCATGCAAGATGGGCAGCTCCTGTCTGGCTGATACCAACTGTTAAATATATTTAAATACATAGATACATATATTAAAAAAATTAAAATCAATCCTATTAAAGCCACAACACACAGCAGTTGGAGGCAGCATGTGTTTTGTGCTGGGCTGTGGGGGTGAAAGGCAGCCAGACGGCCGGCAGCCACACTTCAAAATGCCCACAGGAGCGAGGGACCAGCCTCGGTCCTGGTCACCCCTCATGGTGAGCAGCAGCCTCCCGTCCCAGGCTCACAGTGTGCTCCCCGTGAGCAAAGGCTGGAGCACTCCCAGCCACCCAGGACATACTGTGCGGAGGTGGATGAATCTGTTCTGACGTCTGGAATAATCCCTGGGTGCTCCAGGTCCTCTGCCTGAGAGAATCACCAGCATCCCTGCTGTGACACACACGCAGAGGACAAAAAGCCAGGAGGGGCAGGGCTCATGGGAAACTCACTTTTAATGGTTTATTGCCAATGTTACAAAGGTTGACACATGGTCAGACAGGCGGGAACCACACTGGAGTTGTAAAACCAACAACAACGAGTCTAGGGTTTTAGTTTATTTCAAAAAAAAAAAAAAAAGAGAAAGAAAAAATCAGTTTGCCTTGGCCAAGCTGACTGCATGTCCTGGGTATGCCTGGAGCCTGAGCCAGGGTTGCCACAGCCCCTGGAAGAGCCAGGCTTTGAGTTGGCAGTGAGATGGGTCAGAGGGTCCCAGGGCAGTTCCCACACTAGCCTGGTCTAGGGCAGCATGTGGTGGTCCTCCTAAATCCACAAGGCCCAGCTGTCCTGCACAGCACCAGCCCTGCCCCACTCCTCTCCCCGCTTATCCCTCTCAACAACAGCAGTGGCAAGAAAGGTGGCAAACACCCCTCTCTGTCCATGCTGAGGACCAGCAGTGCTGGCACCTCCCGCTGAGCACTTGCCCCAGGAGTTGGCTATCACCTCCTGCCCTGCTCAGGGGGGCTGCTGGCACCCCACTGTTCCCAACCCTGCTTTGAAATAAATCCTTTAAGATGCTGATAATTCCCAGAGCATCAGCACAGGTGCTGTTCCCCTGGAATCAGCTCAGGACCAGCCCAGTGCACATTATCCTTGTCCCTCCCTGGAGCTGTGCGAGCCCACCTGGCCAGGGTATGGCGAAGAAGACCAAAAACTAAGTTTGTGCTTTGTATACGAGACCCTGCCTACACTGAGGGGCTGGGGAGGAGGTGGCTGTGTTCACCCCACAGCTGAGGCTACTCAGACCCCTCAGCCCCTCACCACCCCAGCAAGCTACAGACATGCACACACACACACACACACATGCGCGCGCGCACGCATGGGAAGAGGGGTCCCCAGGGGGCTGGGGAGGCAAGGGGAGGAGGAGAAAGTGGCCATCTCCCCAAAACCATGTCAGCACCGAGCCAAGAAAAGCGCACTACTGGCCCAGCAGTGGTGGGGAGCACAGAGGTGCCAAGTGCCCCCTGCCTCATGCCCAGGTGCAGTCCCCCAGGCACAGCAACAAGTGCCCCCAGAGCCCTGCCAGCAGCTGTTAGTCTTGTAAAACTAAATCTTTGCTTCCTATAAGTCACTCACCTCCTCGTGGTACCGGTGACCTGAGATCTTATGATGGAGGGATGTGGCTCAGGTGGGTGCTGTGAGCTGCCAGCGATGGGGATGGGTCTCAGACACCCAGATCCTGCACAGTGATCTGTCATCCCACACTGCCCTGTTTTGCCTCTGCCCCAGGGCATGTCCCAGTGTAGACCAAGTGGGATGCCCATCTTGCCAGAGTGGGATTCAGGAGGATGAGCCTCCCCGTGCCCCCTCCTGCTCTCAGCACCTGCTTCAGCCCAGGGCAGCTGGAGGACTCTGTTCCCCATGGCCTCAGGGGGCAAGGAATAGGGGACATGGGGCTCGGTGCTGCCCCCAGAGCTGGGGGTGGCCAGGGAGGGCTCTGCTTCCCCTGTCCCCCTCGACAGACACTTACAAACACACACAGAGAAAGGAAACCGTAACCTTATAAAAGACACTGAACGCAAATGCCTGCAAGTTTGGGGGCAGCCCCGGCCCCATCACCGCCTCGGCTCCCCCCACGCCCCCTGTGAGCGGCCGGGCAGGCTTGCTCCATGGGGCTGAGTGGCTGGCGGCCCTCGGGCGCCTAGGAGCCGATGATCTGGCCAGACCATGTCTCGTGCTTCGTGTGCGGCGCCAGGTTAGTGAGGACCACCTCCACCGCCTGGAACTTCTGGTTCTTGGGAGGGATAGGGCAGACCTTGTACGTCACCTCATCCCCCTCCACCGGGACGTACTCCCCCTCAATGCTGTGGGAGAGGAAAGGAGAGATGGTGGGGCTGTGGCCAAGAGACAGACCCCTGCCCCAGACCACCCAGAACCAAGGAAGGCACCCGACCCACCAGCTGTGCCTTG